ATGCCAGAAGTTTCTTGGTAATAATGCAGAAGAAGTTCAAAAACTTTAGGAGACTGAAGTGATGAGGTGAATTTATCTAATATGACCTAATGTGGCTCAGAATATACTTTATTTACCAAGACCTTGAAAAATAAATTCATGAGAAAAATTCCATTTCCTTGGAAAGGGGCTTTAGAGGTTGTTCTCTGTAGACTGGGCACACAGTGAGATGTTGCAGGTGAAACTGTTTCCTTGATTGCAGCAGGGAGAGTTAGACTCTGGGGAAGCAGAGGCCAAGGAACCCCTTCACCGTCACTGACAAAGTGGGCAGCAAAGTTAGTGTGGTATCAGAATGGCTTACCTGCATCCCATATAAAGTAGCAGGGGAGTCCACTAAGTTCCTGATTGATTTGAACTAAGGCGTGATGAATTACATTTTATAGAATGTTCACCCCTTTTCCTAATTGAATCAACTCAGTTATCTAAGAATGAAGAGAGTTTAAAGTACCTTTGAGGAAAAACAGACAGACAGTGTGAATCTACCATTCTAGGATTCTCCAGATTATCCTGTTTCCACTTGCCATCACCATTGTCTCATTTTTATGATTAGTTGACAATACCTGTGAGCAGACACTAATTTCTAAGGGTTCACAGTGCTACTGTAGACTGCCAGGCAGTGTAGGCATTTATGGAAAGTTAGCTGATAAATAGAATTTTGACCCAAGCAATAGCATATCTCTATGGAAGAGCAGAGGTTTGTGCCACAATCAAACACTTGAAAGATGTGGGCAGTTGATTTTTACCCCATCCTCCTTTATCTTTACAGTATGGCTGGTGCTGAAGATAGATGAGTTCTAGAAAATGACAGGTGGTTACTTCAATCACAACTGCTGTTTCAAATGTGATCTACTTACTGGAGCAAATCAACGTACCCTGACACCTGGTATGCAATTATTTATCTGAAAAATGATCTTTTCTTATTCCTTTTATTCCACTGAGCAGAAAATAACAGGACTTTTAAAAGCTATCATGGCATCTTCAAAATTTGACCCAGGATTCCATCAACATGTAGTTTCACTGTATATCTTGCATTCTTCTGCCAGAACCTGGAAGGAAGTTATCTTAAATGTGATAGTATGACATGTGCAGGTTTTCATTCATTCATTCAAAAGTGGCTATTCAGTGCCTATTTTGTGTCAGTCATCTCTCTAGGTGCTGAAAATGTAGCTGTGAACAAAAGAACAAGTTCCTGTCCTCTTAAGCTAACGTCAGAGAGGGGAGAGACTGACAATAAACAAATGAGTGTGTAAATACATCACGCATCAAATTCTGGTGAATGCTACACAGAAAAATAAAACAGAGTCAAGGGAAATAAGGGAGGTCAGAGGATGGGGCAGTGTAACTTAGTATTGGGCATTAGGTTGAACTATACCAACAGGGGCCTGATGGAAGAGAGGAAGTACATTACGAAAATACCTGGGAGAAACACGTTCCAAGTATAAGAAAGAAGAAATGCAAAGACTGTAAAAGCAGTGACCTGCATTTCAAGGTGGTTAGAGTAGCTGATATACAGTGAAGGAGGTGGGATAGAGAGAGCAGATCATAATGGACATTGCAGGCCCTCTTTGAATGGGTTGGGAAATAGATAATTTTATGCAGAAGTGTGGTATAATCTGAATTATATTTTAAAGGGATCATTGTGATTGACGTATAATGAATATACCAGATGGAAAAGAGGATGCAGTTAAGAGACTAAAATTGCAATGATTAAGATGAGAAGTGATTGTGTCTTAGAGCAGGTTGGTAGGAGTGGGAGATAGTGAGAAGTAATCACACTCTGGATATATTTTTAGAGGGAAGCCAGATAATTTTGTTGATGGCTTGAATTTGTGGTATTAAGAGAAAGAGAAGAATCAAGGGTTTTGATCTGAGGTTAGCCACAGAAGGAAATGGCTACCACTTTTTGGGCTGGAGGAACCACTAAAAGAAGTAGCATTTCCAGAGTCAAAAAATATGATATATAGGAAAGTTGTTAAGAGAGTAAATCCTTTGAGTTCCTATCACAAGATGATTTTTTTTCCTTTCCCCCCCCTCTTTTTGTCTATTGAATTTAAATGAGAAGAAGGAAGTTAGCTCAACCTATTGTGGTAATCGTTTTACATTATATATGAATCAGACCATCACACTGTATACCTTAAACCTATAGAGTGATCTATGTCAAATATTTCACAGTAAAACTGGGAAAAATTGGAGCCATCATGGATACAGAGCCAAGATGATGCAAGGGCAGTCCCCCTGGAGCAGAGGCGACGGAGGATAGCACTCATTGCTTGAGATTCCACAGGAAACAGAGTGAAGAGTAGAAATAATGTGGCTTTTATTGCCTTCCTGCCCTGTAGGCTTCTGCCAGTGCCATCTACTGGCTGAAATGCTCTGGAAGCCAGAATGGAGGGAAACAAGAGATGGCAGGGAGTGCATCTGAGAGCAAACAAGCAGGGGTACAAGATGGTGAACAAGAGGCAGTTAGACGTGCTGGTTTGGACTTCAGGGTGCTATGGTCTGAATGTGTGTGTCCTCCCCCAATTCATATGCTAAATCCATAACCTCCGATGTGATAGTATTAGGAGGTAGGACCTCTGGGAGATGTTTAGGTTGTGAGGGTAGAGTTCTCATGATTGGGATTAGTGCTTTTATAAAAGGGACCCCAGAGGGCTTTCTAGCTCCTTCCACCACGTGATGACACAGTGAGAAGTCACCAGTCTGCAGCCTGACTGAGCGCCTTCCCCAGAACTCCACGAGGCTGGTATCCTGATCTCAGATTTCCCAGCTTCCAGAACTATGAGAAATGAAATTCTGTTGTTTATGAGCCACCCAATCTATAGAATTCTGTTATAGCAGGTGGAATGGACCAAGATAATATATGAATTTGAATTTTTACATCGAAGGCATTTTTTAAAGCTGTTGGAACTTGATGAGATACCCTGGGGAGTGAGTAGAGAAAATGGAGAGAAGAGGCCTGAGAAAAGAACCCTGGCCCTCCAGTGTTAAGAGAATGTGGAGGAATTAGCAAAGGGACAAAGAAGTTGTGCTCAGTGAGCCAGGAGGAGAGCTGAGAGAGTTGTGTCCTGGAAGATACACGCAGGATTTATTTAAAGAAGACAGTGATCAGCCATGTCAAATGCAACTCACAGGTCAAGTAAGATGAGACCTGAGAATTGAGTCATAGGTTTCAGAAATATCAATATCACTGGTGATCTTAATAATAGGGCCAGGACTAGGGTAAGGCAAGTGAGGTGCTTGCCTTGGGTGCAAAAATCTCAGTATTTTAGTGCAATTAAATGATACCTTAATATGATATTTTAAAAAATAAAAATTAATGCAAAATCCACAATAAGTACAATATTCAAAGTTTAAATAATGACAGAATTTGTAACAGTATCAAGCTGAGCCATCTTGGAAGCTGAGAAAAAAAGAAACAACTATGATATTGAGCCTGTCTTTATTGAAACATTTCATAACTTCATTGTTAGCTTTTGCATTAATTTTGACTTTTAAAATATTCCTTGAAAATTATTTATCTTTATAAATGAGATTTGGTGCCTCTTAAATTTTGTACCCAACACAAGAATCTTACTTAGCTTCACCCTAGCCGTGTCCCTGCTTAATAAGCGGTTTCATTTGAGAGATGAGAGTGAAAGCATATTTGAAGGCTGGAAAGGAATGTGTTGGTGTATAGAAGGGAGAGAAGAGTGAATGGATCAGGACAGGGCTGGATGATTGTTCCTTCAGCCTGGGTCCAAGAGTAAGAAGAGATTTGGAGCAGATGTTCAGCCTGGAGCCACCCCACAGCTGACTTGCAAGTTGCATGTAACTTGATGGAGAAATGCATGTTTGTCATTGCAAGGTTCTGGGATTTGGGAATTGTCACCACAGCAAAGATAATCAATAAAAGTTCTCAGTCCTTTATTTTGAGAACAGAAGTTTGAGAAAGCTCACTAAGTAAAGAATCTTGATTAGCAGAGGCACTGCTTTAAAGCAAAGAGAGTGTAGAGTGCATAGCAGAGGAGGAGAATCATAAATACCGATTACAATCACATCACCAGTTGCAGAATCGAAGACTATAGCCTATGCCTTTATCTTTTTCCTTTACTGTGTTTTGAAGATTTTTGCTCAGTTTAACTAGTTTTCAATTTTTTTTATCATTTTCTTTTCCTATTCTAATTTATAGGAAGTTGATTGTGGTAAAATTTACAACTTAGTTCACTGGTTGTAGAATATACAGAGAAAATAGTGAAACACTGTAGGGAGAATATAATCTAGATGAAGTAACTCATGAAGCTTTGGGAAGAGGGGAGCCCTTCTGTACCAGGAAAAGCTGGATTGTGTCATTAAAATCTTTGTTTTGGAGTGGAAAATATGAAAAGAAGTTTGTGAATGAATCCTGGGTAGTGCAAGTGATGAACTCTAATATACTTGAAAGGCATCAGAAAATGGATCCAGAAATAATGTTTAATTTGGGCACCCTGTGGCACAGTAATTTTTGACATCTAAAATAACCATCATGGATTTCCTGTTTTTAACTGATTTTTAAGCAGTTTGATTATGATCTGCTTTGGTGTAGTTTCCTTGATATTTCTAGTCTGATTGAAGATGTCCCAGAGTCTACTAATGCTATATTATTTTTTTTCCAGTCTTTTTTATTTGTTTTATGTTTCCCTTTGGATACTTTCTAGTATATCTTCAAGTTCACCAATCTTTTCTCCTTCAATATCTAATTTGCCATTAATTTAATCCAATTTACTTTTGTCTCAGACATCGAATTTTTTATTTCAGAAATTCAGTTAGGGTTTTTAAAAATCATTAATGTTTACCTAAAGTAATCTTACCTCTACCTTCTTGAATATATGAAGTATAGTTATGTGTGTATTTTAATGTCTTTACTGATTTTATCATCTGATATTTCTGATCTGCTTTTATTGATTGATCTCTTTCTCCTCATTTTGGGTCACAGTTTTCTCCTTTGCGTGTTTGATAATTATTGATTGGTTGCCAGGCATTATATACTGTTACTTACTAGGTGCTGCTTAGTTTTTATTCCTGTAACTATTCTTGAGCTTTTTTCTAGGGTGCATTTAGGTTATGTGGAAACTAATTTTTTAAAGGCTTGCTTTTAAGCTTCTTTTAGGTGGAATCAGAGCAGCCTATAGTCCTAGATTAATTTTTCCCCATTACTGAGGTGATACTCTTCTGAGTACTCTGATGGCCTGTGAATTCTGAAATTTTTCTATCCTAGGTGCTGTGAGCACACACCATTCGTGGCCCTGCATGAGCTGTGAAGACTATTACTGCTAGTCCTCGTGGGTGTTTTTTTCCTGGCTTTGGGTAGTTTCCTCACACATGTGCATCCAAAGACGTGAGAGGGATCCTCTGCCAATTTCAGAAGCACTTTCTTTGTGAAAGTTTCTACTCTCTGGTACTCTGCCCTCTAAAGTCTAGACATTTTTGGCCTCCTTGGACTCAACACTGCTCATCTCAGGGAGACCTCTAGGCTCTGCTTGCGTTCCCCCTCCCTGCACTGTGGTCTGAAATCTCTGTCCAGCCAGAAAGTTGGAGCAATTATAGGGCTTAGCTTGTTTACCCTTTATCAAGAAACATAATCCTTCTTTCCATCTTGATTGGAAACAGAAGTCTTGTTATGTGTTATCTTGAATAAACATTTAAAGTAGTGTTGGAAAATTTTTCTAATTGATGTCTGTTACTTGAGATTATAAGTATATCCCTTCTTTATGAAAATAACCTATTATTTGATTTGGCAAGGAAAAAAGTAACTTCAACAAAGTTCTCCTAAAAATATTAGAACTTTAATATTAGGCAAGATCCTGGGTAGGATTCTTTCTGTTGTAAATATTTTACTATTTGTGGCACCTTGAGCAATATTGTTTT